GCGCCGTCGCCCCCCCCCCCCCCCCTACTCCTCCATGGAGGGTGGGCAAACAGCTGGTCTCAACACCATGGCGTTCCCCGGAATGGAAAGGGAGGTCCCCGCTGCCCCCCGGGGCGGGACTGCTTTGAACTGGGGGGGGGTTTATATGTCTCCAGAACCTGCGGCACCTGTCCCGGGCTTCTGCTGTGGGGGGTGGGAGCCAGCCTGGCTCAAAAATAAAGTATTGAGGGGTTCCTTCAAGTGATGTGCTGGCTGCAGGTGGATGTGGCAAATCGTCCTTCTGGGCTTTCAAAATCTGCATGGGCTGTGGGGCAGTTTGCCTGGGCTGGGGGAGCACAGTGCAGCAGCCTGGATGGGCGTTGTGTGGAGCTTTGGGGTTGGTAACTGAGAGCAAAGCGGGCGCCTGCAGAGTGGGCACGAGCTCCAGCGTGGCTCATCTGCCCGTGAAACAGGTTTTGTGAGCGCAGTGGGCACCAACAGGTTCGTGCGCTCTGGCAGGATCAGCAAAGCTGGCATAAAAGGCAGCTTTTGGGTGACTGAATATTGGTGCTGGAGGGGTGTAAAAGCTGCCTGGTCCTTCCCTCTCCCTGCCTCGTGTCCTCACCAGGCCTGTTCGTGCATCTCTGCCGGTGGGCTGGCAGTGATGGGTGTTCTCCATTTGTATTCCTCCTAGGAAACACACTGGAGAAAAGCCTTTTGAATGTTCCAAATGCGGCAAATGTTATTTTAGAAAAGAGAATCTGCTGGAACACGAAGCCAGAAATTGCATGAACCGATCTGAGCAGGTATCTTCGGGAAGCTGCCACCAGTGGTCTGGAAAGCGAGTGCCATTTTGCAGAGGTGGAATTAGGGCATTTTTCCAGTCACAGTCCATGTCACACTCAGCTACTGAACAAAAACCCCTCATCACCACTGCGCGGCATGCGTACCACAGCCAGGACCCCTCCAAGTCCACTGCCAGTGAGGACAGCAGCAGCTTTTGTCTGATTTACCACACAACTCTCATTTTGTCTGTTGTTTTCAAGCATGTGAGGATATTCTTTGTACCGTAAAAGACCCAGATCGCTGTGGCTGAGGGTTAAACTTCACATCCAGGTCCCAGCACCTGAGTGCCAAACACTGGTCTGAGCTGTGGCCTTTGCGCTGGACTCTTGGTTCTGCAGAACCTGATGCCTCCCCCCTCTCTTGCAGGTGTTCACGTGTTCGGTCTGCCAGGAGGTGTTCAAGAGGCGAATGGAGCTGCGGCTGCACATGGTGTCGCACACGGGGGAGATGCCGTACAAGGTCAGCAGCGCCTGCCTTCGACGTCCCCACAAACGGCTGCTAGGTGCTGGGGCGAGCCTTTCTGTGTTGGGGCAGCCTGGCCCAGCCCTTCAGGGGAGCCGAGCGCACCAGCTTCCTTCCCTGGTCTGCGGCAGCCCCCTGAGGGTCATTCCCCTTCTTTGAGCCAGAATGTGCTCCAGGGAGGCACCAAAGCCAGGCGCTTTCTGGGGCCTTACCTTGGCTCTGTGTTCTGTGTCAGGACAGTGCTCCCCAGCCCTTTGTGCCAGCATGCCGCCGGTCCTCTTCTCACACCGAAATCACTCCCTGGGGGGATGCCTGGAAGCTGACCCTCCTCTCTTGTCTTTCAGTGCTCCTCCTGCGCCCAGCAGTTCATGCAGAAGAAGGACCTGCAGAGCCACATGATAAAGCTGCACGGCGCCCCAAAGCCCCACGCAGTAAGAGGAGCGGGTGGGATGCAGTGGGCTTTTGGGAGGGAATTATCCTGCGCTCAGGCCTGGCTGAGGGAATGCCATCCATTGTCCCGTCTGGCTCTGTTTACCAAGGCAGGCAGTTGGAGTTACAGAGCTGCTGGAAACATCCTTTTTTTTGGGTATAGGAGCAGCCCTTGTCATTTTTTTGGCTGATAGACTCAAGTAGTAACCAGCATTTTGCCTTTGTCAGCCTGCCTCAACCCATTAGGTGTCTGGGAGCTGGGGGTGCGGCTGCAGGGAGGACCCCAAAGCAGCAGCGGCAGGCGGAGGGACGGGCTGTGGGCTGTGGGCGGTGGGTGGGTCTGTTGCGGGCGTACGCTGCGTGGCCTGCCTGGGCGAGCTGCCTAACCCCGCGCTCTCCTGTGGCCTTGCAGTGCTCGACCTGCTCCAAGTGCTTTCTGTCTCGGACAGAGCTGCGCCTGCACGAGGCCTTCAAGCACCGGGGAGAGAAGCTGTTTGTCTGCGAGGAGTGTGGGCACAGGGCCTCCAGTCGCAACGGCCTGCAGATGCACATCAAGGCCAAGCACAGGTATGACGTGACCCGTGGCCTCCCCTGCCTCTCCTGCCTGCGCTTCCTCCGCCAAGGGCCCGCCTGGGTGGTGCTGGGGAGAGGAGTTGGCTGGAGGGCAGCAAGGACCCCCTTTCCGAGGTGCTGGGCTCAAACTTCTGCCAGAAACCTGGTGAGGGGCAAACCGGCATTCTGCTTTTCTCTCTTCCAAAGGCAGTGCAGACTGTCAGCACTTCCTCTGAGTGCGTGACTGTAGTAATACAGGCGATGACTGAAGCTCGTCAGCCTGGCTAATCCGTGTTCTTGAAGCAGCAATCATGCGCCAGCTTGCCATACTCGTCCTTAGCATTCTGTTTGCTGGGCTGGTTATAAGACCCAAGGGTTGGGAGGCATCAGCTCAGGAGCCTGTGGCTGCAGAATAGCATTTGTGGGCCTCCAAAATACTTTAGTTTGAGAAGAGTTGCAGTAGGAGTTAATTACAAGAACTTTGGGCAAGGAGCAGCAGCTAACCTGAGGGGCTGAAGCTGGCAAAGGCAGAGATGAAGGTAACGTTTCCCCTGCCCACAGGAACGAGCGGCCCTACGTTTGTGAGTTCTGCCACCACGCCTTCACGCAGAAAGCCAACCTCAACATGCACCTGCGCACGCACACCGGTGAGAAACCCTTCCAGTGCCACCTCTGCGGCAAGACCTTCAGGACACAAGGTATTCCCCGAGGCACGTGGCTGGGGGTGGTAGCGCAAAGCACTGTGCTCTGGCATGCAGGACCTCCAGAGAGCAGCTGTGCTGTGAAACCTGCTTTTTCCTGCCCGCTTCCACTGGGAAGGAAAGCCACACTCTTGTGAGCATGTGCTAATGCTGAGGAAGGCGCATTCCTCTTACCTCCATTACCCTCGCGGCACAAAAGAGAAAGAAGTTGAGTTTTCCCCAGTGGTGGTTGGCCTGGACCAGCAGGCTGCTGCTTTCCCTGCCTCTAAGCCCTTCTAACCAGCCAAACCTAACTGCACCGCGTGTCTGCGGGCTTCACTGCGGCGTGGCTCGTACCTGACCCCGAGACAGGGGGCACGTGCTGCACCGCTGACCCGCGACACTCTCCCTCTCCCCCCGTGAACGGCAGCAAGCTTGGACAAGCACAACCGGACCCACACTGGGGAGCGCCCCTTCAGCTGCGAGTTCTGTGATCAGCGCTTCACGGAGAAGGGGCCCCTGCTGAGGCACATCGCCAGCCGGCACCAGGAGGGGAGGCCCCACTTCTGCCAGATCTGTGGGAAAACATTCAAAGGTAACGGCCAGAGCGTTGGGCTTTCGCACGGCTCTTTAGAAACTGCCCGCCTTTCCCTGGTGCGGGTTGGCATTGCTGCGAGTGTGTACAACGCAGTGCCGCCGCCAACGGGCTCTCGCTTCCCTTCTCAGCTGTTGAACAGCTGCGCGTCCACGTCCGCCGGCACAAGGGTGTGAGGAAGTTTGAGTGCACCGAGTGCGGCTACAAGTTCACACGACAGGTGAGTCCTTCCCCGCTCCGGGGCCCCCCGCTGTGCTGGGGGAGCTGGCCCTCACCAGGCCCCTCATCCTGCCTCTTCCTTCCACAGGCTCACTTGAGGCGCCACATGGAGATTCATGACCGGGTGGAGAACTACAGCCCCCGGCAGCGGAAGCTGCGGAACCTGATCATTGAGGACGAGAAGGCCGTGGTGGTGGCGCTGCAGCCGCCGCCGGAGCTGGAGGTGGGCTCAGCAGAGGTGATCGTGGAATCCCTGTCGCGAGGCTCCCTGCCCGAGGAGATCCCCGTGCAGAGACTCTGCTCAAACGAGAACTTCTCTACGGCGGATGTGATCGAGCAATCGCTAATTATAACAACAACAATTCCCGAAGACTGTGAAACATAGCGGAACTGCCTGCGCATGTCCTTTCTACCAAAACACAATAAAGCATTAGGCTGGAGCCGCTCTGTGCCACGCTTGTTCTTTTCAAGTTGTGCATCCGCCCCTTCCCCTCCTTCCCGCAAAGCTCCCACCCCAGACTGCAGGGAAATGAAGTTATAATGGGGTCTTAAAGAAACAAATGTGAAACTACTCAGAAAGGCAACTTAAATGTACATACGCTGTATGAGGCAGGATGTGACTGACAACTCTGTGTGTGTAATACTATAAATTGCTTTCTAATGAGTTCTCGTTTGCGGCCGGAGGGACAGCTGGCACTCGCTGGCAGTTCTGCCTTTGGGTCTGAAAGCTCATGATTAGAGCTCACCTTTCCCAGGAGAGTGCGGCTCTGCCCCTTTCCTTAAAGGCTTGCTGACAGCATCGTCTCCTCCATTAAATTTGTGCCTTATTTCTACTTTGTTTTGTTAAGCTTCTGCCAATTGCCGTTTCTTTACCACATTAAAGGTGGGTATTACACGTACCTTTGCACCATTGAACAAATTTAACCGTACTTGAAACACATCATCCCAAGGAGCTGGACAACGCTCTAAGCTCCGGCTTTCAGGTGTGGAGATTTACATTGGTCTGAAATAACACGATCCGGTGCTGCTGTGACACTGAGAACTGTTTCCTGAGTATTCCCAGGGTGGGGGAAGATCACGAGGTGTACCCACACGCCCCACATCGCAGCCACTCACTTCCCTTTCCCTCTTTTACTCACCGGGAAGCAGAAAGTCTCCAGTTTAAACGTACCGCAGGCCTAGAACGAGAAATGTTGCAGTAAAAACTTAACTCCAGTAATCTTCCCCTCAAAGATGACAGAGAGATTTATGTCATGTGTTTTATTTAACTTGACTGCTGCAAGTAAATTTAAAAACAAACTATGAGAATAAAAATACATTATCTGTAAATGTAAAATGCCTTTGTTTCAAAGGATGGTATTTAAACTGTACTCGAAGATTCAGACACAATGAATTTTACAAAAAATAAATACTGTAACTGTTCAGCCGGTTGGGGAATTTGGGGGTGGCAGGTCCAGCAGCGAGCACTACAGTATGAGACACAGTGTGCGTGCTATTTATAGTTCGGCATAAATACTTCAGTCTGCAACGCGAGTTCAGCTGCGCAGCGCATACCGTCTCTCCCGGGTACGACACGGTGCCACGGGGATGGGCTGCTTCGGCAGGATGCGGCTGTGACTCCAAGAAATGAAGGAGCCGCCCCGAATCGCGGGCCCCCCGCGCATCCCCAAAAAAAGCCGGGCAAGCCCCCTCCGCTGGCGCATGATGGTTTCAAGGCACTGTCAAAGTTTCAGACTTGGAGAACAGCCCAGATTTCACGAGCGGCATTCCCCAGTTCCACAGCTGAGGAGTGTGGCATAAAACAGCATTCAAGGCAAACCAGAGTTCTTTAAAGCTGTGAAGACGCTTGATGTGGAGATGGGGCTCGGACACTACTCAAGCCAAGGGCAAGCCAGAAGGCGTGCAATCAAGCATACGGGCTTTCCACCTCTGAATTAGGTTTAAATTCAATTTGTTTTCCTATTGGTTAAAATAAAAGATGAAGCGAACGCATCCAGCCAACACTTCAGCCGTTGTCACACTTTACAGTTTTCCTGAAGGTGTGATGCTCGTTGCTGGGTGAGCCGTACCGCAGTTTTAGCTGTTTGTGTTTTCAAGAAACATTCCACGAGTAAACTGTACGCAGCTTCTCCTCAGCTAAGGTAGATGGAGGAACCACAGCCCAAGCTAGCGAGGTCACTTGGGCGAGTATAAAGGCAAATCTTACACAGGCTAAAAAAACCCACCAGCAAACCCCAAACAAAAAGAAGAAAAAAACCCTAAAATAACTACCTTTCAATCCGCAACACTCTCTCTAACTCCTACACCTTCACCAAAACACTTCAGTGGCATTTTCCCGGGAGCTCCTGCAAACCAGAGGCGCGACAGGCAGGAGGCCCCTCCAAAGGTCCGGTGGGATCCTTCACACAAGGCGATGCATCTGAACACAATTCTGCAGCAAAGGACCTCAGCACTGCCAGCAGTTCTGCAAACCTGCGGGGAATCTCCTGAGGAAGCTGCGCTCACCTTTCCCGGTAAGGTTTTTTTTTCTCTGAAATAATACAACACCGACTTAGCTCCTTCAAAATGGTAAAGAACTAAAACCTCACCTTGGTGCACGGGGCCTCTCTGCCCAACCCAGCACGTTGGCCGAGAGCTTGGCACTGGAGAACTGACAGCAAACAGCCCTCGCCACAAGAAGCAGCTTTTTTGGCCTATTTCAGCCCCGTGGCACCGGGAAGGGAGAGCGGCTCCTCCCCGAGGGCAGCAGCGGCAGCCCCAGGAGTCGCTCCTCGGGTGGCAAAGAGGGGCACCTGCTTCTCCCCTTCCCCTGGAAGGAGGGCGCAGCCGGGGCGATCAGAAATGAAAACAATCTAGCTGTGAGAATGTGACTGAAAGACAAAGAACGGTGTTTCTTCTTAGAAGGAAAAAGTGCTCTGCTTAGGAAGGGTTGGAAAACAAACACCCGCAAAAGTTTAAATGCTGCAACTTAAACCCCACCAAAATACAGGAGGAACTGAAGTTCAGAGAAAGGGAAAGGTGAAGCTGCGTAACTCAGCCTCGGTGAGCTCCCCGCTGCCGGACATCTGTTCCTTCCAAAGGCATGAATGGGAACCGAGGACCACGGTGACAGCGCAGCGAGGGACGTGTTCTCATAGGAACCTCTCACCCCTAACAGGGCGGGTGTCCCAGCTCTCGTGGGAAGGCCTTTCCCCCTCTAACCACGCAGAGGAAGATGTGCACAGGAGGTCTTCCTCCGAGGCACAGAACGGAGGGGCATCCAGACCACCGTCCTACCAGACAGACCCCTCCCGAAAGAGAAACTGAAGAAAGGAGTTTGGTGGCAACTGAAGCATTACGGGGTGAAGGAGCTCCCAGTGAAAGGCGTCTGACCAAAAGCCATAAGCTGCGATGCTGCGGTGACGTTCAATGCAATCGCTTTCCCCAGAGTTCACCTCTTGGGTCTCCTCTGCGGGCAGCGCAGTGCCTTCTCCTGCCCCAGAGAAGTGCCGGGGGACGCCGCAGCGGAGGCCTCGCTGTCTGCCGGCTGTGGTTCCGCAACAGCACGTCAAACATTCAGAGTTTTCACTCCCTCTGTGATCAGTACGTTTTTGTTTCCAAGCACCGGTTTGCCTCTGCCTTCTCTCAAAGCAACACTGGTTCTGGATAACAAACTCGTGTCGAGCCAGGGGAACAGTGCCTTCCCCTGCTAACGAAGCTCATTAAGGTTCTGGTTGTGAAGGTTTTGGCGCTGCCTGTTCAAGTTGATGGTGTTGTCCAGCGTGATGCCGTCATCCTCCTGCGTGGTTTCCGGCATGAACTGCCGGAATATGCTGACGCTGCCGTGCCAGAAGATGGGCTCGGGGAGTTGGCCCACCACGCTCCACGTTCGTGTCTCGGGGTCGTACGCCTCCAGGACATCCGAGAGCTCAAACGTGTTATCGTAACCACCGGAGACATAGAGCTTCCCGCCGAGCACGGCCACGCTGCCCCCGACGTGAACCTACAATTTAAAAATAAGCGTACACAACAATCAAAAAGGAGGGTTTTGCCCAATTAGGCGGACAATAAAGGTGTTGGGTACTGTCCTGCAACTGCTCGCTTGGACGGGACTCGGCGCCCACCAGCTGCTGACTCTGGCTCTGAACCAGCGCTGCCCAAACACTGGAGAAGACAGCGCTTTCTAGCTTTGCCCCGCGCTCGTGTGCTGGGCTGAACACCCGGCTACGCAACCACAGGCCAGGATTTTTCCTTCCAGGTGACTGTGGTATGCTTAAATGCACTCCATGTGCAAGGGGTTATAATCTAAAGAGCACCTGGTTTTCCAAAGGTAAATTAAGCCAATTTTTAATGCTGAAAGGCATCCAGTAGGTCGGTAAGCGTCCTACCTGAAGCATGGCGGGGATTTTATCCCATTCATTCTTCGCTGGATTGTAAACATCCACTTCAGCCGAGTCATCTCTGTGGGAGATAACACAAAATTACTCTTCTGCGTTCTAAAAACCTCCTGCCTTGTGAATCCCCCAGTTCAACAGCCTGAAATGCCGCCGTGAGCCCTTCTGCTCCAAAGCCATTTGGAGTATCCAAAGCCAGTATCGGAGACCAAAGGGTTCCTGTACAAAGGCGCAGGTCTCGATGCAGACCCAGCCTCCAGCGTGGGCTTCTCCGGTGCCAGAAGTGACATTCAGCCCCAGGAAACACCTGGACCTCCCTGCTGCACCCCTGCCCGCAAAGCGGGCTGGCACAGACATTGTGCACGTACCACATAGCAGTGCAGGAGCGCTCCCCTCATTCTCAGGGCCACTGACCTACAGCCCAAGAGCCTGAACGCCCCTTCTGAGCTTCTCTACAGGCAAAGCAGCGCGCTCTACACATTCTGGTGTGTGCAGAGTTTGAGGGTGCTTCCTAGGAGGGAAGGCAGGCAAGATGACCGGAGGCAGAGCAAGCTGACAGCAAACACTGTGTTCTGCCTCCCTAAATTGGTTGCTCCACCCGAGATGGTGGGGTGAGCTGCTCCAGACTGTGAGCCCCACTCCGAGTCCAGCACGCAGCTACACCACTGCTCAGTCAGAAATCGCTGTGCAATCCCAAGGGCTGTCTCAAATGTAGTATTTTTTTACATCTGCATCTATGGTAGGTGTGTTCACAGACTAACTTTCTGCAAGTCTGTATTTCACAGACCGATCTGGCTTTGGTGCCAAGTGCTTCAGGGTCTGGAAGAAAAATTACTGCTGTTCTGGAGAGGCTGAAACCCCTGTGCACTTCACAGTATCGGCATCGCTATGGCTCGAGTTTTTCACCAACGCCAAATTTAGGTGGGCCGGAGGAGTGCGAGAGACGAGCTGGCGGGGGCAGCGTAATCCCCCAAGGCTTCTCCCACCCGCTCCACTCGCAAGACAGGAGGGC